TGGGTGCCCCGGCCCACCCCCGCCACCCTTCTGCCCCTCTCCTTTCTCTCCACAGAGGTGAAGCGGGTCCATGGCACACCCCCCCCTGTGTCCCCCAAGCCAACGCCACCCCCCACGGCACCGAAGCCCCCCAAGCCTCATGCCGCCATCCAGTCGGTCAGCGCCAGCTCCACGCCAGCCCCGTCGCCCGCCCGGCAGCTGGGCCCCAGTACTGCCAAGCCCTCCAGCACACCCCCCTCGCTCTGCTCCAGCCCCGCCAAGCCCCTCTCTCCTGGTGCGCAGCCCCAGCAGGTGCCGGTGAAGCCGCCCCGCTCTGCCATCGCTGGCCCCTCCGTCGACAGCGCTGGCCCTGAGCTGGCACAGCAGAAGCTGGAGGAGACGAGCGCGTCCCTGGCTGCTGCGCTGCAGGCCGTGGAGGAGAAGATCAAGCAGGAGGACAGTCAGGCGGCAGAGTAAGGAAGCGAGCGGTGGTGGGCGGCTGGTGGTCCCCCGGGAGGGCACGGAGGGGCTGGGGAATGGGGTCCACAAGCATCACAGGCATGGGGTAAGGCTGTGTTGCCAGAGCAGGAGCTGGGGGTGATGTTGAGGGGACACCATGCTGGAGCAGCATGGGGCCCCGGTAGGGAAGGTGACATTATGGGACAATGTGCCCAAGCAGCATGGGCAGGCAGGGACACCTGGGCATGCAGGTGCACCAGGGGCTGTGTTTTAGTGGTGACAGTGGGGGACACTGAGCTGGGATGTTCCCAGCTGTGCAGTGGCACTGGGGAGATGACACCAGAGATGTGACACTGAGGACACAGTGCCCAGCACCACAGGGCAGAGGGGGCAGGAGGGCTGTGTGTGTGGCTGAAGGCACAGGGCACTGCCACCATCCCATGCGTGGTACTTACCTGTCCCCGCCACCTGCCCAGCTCGGCCGTGGAGTCAAAGAGCACCGTGAGCATCCTGGACGACATTGGCAGCATGTTCGACGACCTGGCGGACCAGCTGGATGCCATGCTGGAGTGAGGGGCACCACGGCCCCACGAACCTCAGGGCTAACGTGGGCACAAGGGCACAACGATCCACGACCCCCGGCCGCGCCGCCCGCCTCCCGTCCCCTTTGTACAGCCGTCCCCTCCCGGACATCCCGTCCCTCGGGGTTTGCACAAAGAAGAAGATACCTCAGGATTGTGCTCACGGACTTGGCTCCGGCAGGACTCCCTTTTGAGAAGCAAAAAATAAAAACAGAACAACAGAAGAAACAAAGCAACACTCCCCAGACCCAAACGGCCCCCGGCGTGCCAGGAAGGGGGGGGGCCTCTTTACCTACCTGTCCAGTGGC